ATATGGCAACGTTTTCGCGCCAACAAAGCGGAGGAGAAATTCTCACGTGCGCGAAAGCGAGACGACCGATAAACGGCCGAAACTTTGACATTTGACAAGAACAGACTCACGAAAGAAAAAAGGATAAAATTCACCTAAAACAGAATCTCAAGCTGGGATGGCTGGCAATTTAAAAAAGTACATCTACTAATTAATTAAGCGGTAAAACAAGGAATATTAACTTTAACCATATTCTTTAAGTAGCAAGTGATTAAAGAGGTCGACTTAAAAGCGTTGACAAGCAACAAGAGATGTGCAAGACGATAATTTTACTTCGAAAAACTTTTTATGACACAAATTCGCTTTCCGGCGTTCAATTAGCGAATGCTAAATCAGCACTATTAACTAAACGTTAAAAAATCACACCAACACAAATTTGACAAACGTCCTTGACGTTAAGAAACTTGCAAGCGGTAGCGTGCAGTCGAGATTTGTAAACAAAATTGCGATCGTTACATACAAGCGAAGAGCGAGCGGCCCACGGCCCACGGCCCACCGAACTTGCGACCAAACATAATGCACAATTGGTGGGTGGTTGAAGACGGTGCACAGCGCGGCTGGCACTGATAAGTATTATAGTTTTTCCTGCTGCAACTGCCGTAAAATAAAGCAAGCAACAACAAATCCAAACCAACTGCTACTAGTATCACTAAGGTGAATCGGCAACGTGAAAAATGATTTTCTCACCTTTAGTTTGAAATTTTACTTTTTGTGAATAACGTCTAAATGCATAAATCAATGTTCACCAGTTGTATTTGCCAATGCAGTTGACTTCGTCGTCACAATCGCAGTGACTGTCATTGCCTTCTTGCTATCCGTTTGCTCCAATTGTCGCAAATTGAGAATATACTCGTTGAACGTTTTCACAAATACTATACTTTATGCTACTTTAAATATCCCTTTGAGTGGGAGAAATCCCAATTCACTAGAATGCTGTGCGGCACCTTCTTCTGCTTGCCAGCTACACTCCATACGCTATGCTTAATAAAGCTTCTCCAACCATCAGTTTCCTAAAGAGGCGTTCTAGTGGTATTTGATTTGTGCACGAGGCGTGTGGTGCGATGGAACGAATAATACAATCCAACAACAAATGTATTGCATGCATGAACCAAATATACACATACACACACTGTGCAACGCACAGCAGATGAGAGCACAGCCAGCTAGTAGCGCCACTGCGGGAGCACCAACAAATCCCCAAAAGCAATGTGTATTGTTGTTGTGAAGTGGTGCTGCCGCCTCTTCTTTCTTCCTTCTACTTCTCTCTTCGTTTCACACTTTGTGCGCTTCTGCTTTGCTATTTGCTTACTACAACAAATTTTTACCACCGCGAGCGAGCACTGCTTTTTGTTTTTGTTCCGTCCCGAGTATTTAGCTTTGATTACGTTTTTCAACCGGTGCTACCAACCTTCCTTTCCAAAAGCAAGAAACAAACTGTCGCTCATCGCCCGTTCACATTCTGGCAGAATTTTCGATTTCACTTTGTGTTCATATTCGGTGATGCAGGGTTGCTTTCTTTCGGTCTAATGAAGAGATGAAAACGAAAGGTAATTTCAAGGCATATTTAATAGGTTTGTTCGTCGAAGATTCAGCAAGATTATTTATCCAACACCCAAAATATCTGAGAGTAACTCAAATTCTCCCTCATGTTGAGAAACTTGCAAATTTCTGCACGAACGCAAATTTGCAGGAATTGGCAAGTTTCCCTGCCAGCTGGTGTCCACGGTTGCATTTCAAACATAATAAATTTTTAAAATTCTTTCAGTTGGACAAAAACAGGATACACATGTATATTTCTTGTTGTTCTGACTTTCTTTAACATACATTTCAATTTATTTATCGTGCTAGCTGTCGGGTTTCTTAAATCGACTCTAGTGGCAATTGCATTCCGATTGTGAATACAATTATTTTCAGCCGAGTAAAGTTCAAATCATTGGAAATAACTAAATTAATTATATCAATAAGTACTTAGTTCCTTTTTTCATAAAAAAATCGTTCGTGTTTAAAAATTTTTAAATTTAACGAACTTATTTATTAAAATTATCGTAGACAAAAATGCAACCATGTGCCACAATCATATGTTTTTCGTGATTGCAAATTCTTGCTGGCTGAAATTTTTCCAGCAAGATTTTGCAGCTTCTCTCCAGGAGAACTGTCACTTTGCGCTCTCAGTTGTTGAGTGATGGATAATTTTTTGGTCTGCACGAATGCGATTTGGGCATAAATCGTGATAATTCGTACAAATTTTTTGTTCGACGAACAGAACTAATGTGCCTTGGGTAATTTCAATTGTGCAATCAATTGACAGCTATAAAACTGGTGCGTTCTTTTTAAAATTTAGTTAGTGGGAAAGGTGTTCCGAATATGTTTTAAGTCTGCTTTTTAGTTGTTGCGTTGTAAAAGATTTATTTTAAAATCTCCAAACGCTCAACACGGATATCCGAATAGTCCTAGCCATGATAAAAAAAATAGGAAGGTAGAAATGCTGAGAGGAATTTTTCAAATTCTTGACGTTTGCAAGCAATTTAATTTTAAAATTTTACACACGAACTCACACACACAGGCTGCGTTTCTTTATTCATTCCGGATAATCCCATTTCACAGCCAGAATAAACAGAATGCGATTGAAATATACGTTAACATATCATCAGGAACGTTCTAAAGAATAAGTAAACAAAAAAGTTTATTCCAAACGTTCAGAATGAATAAAGAAATGCAGCCACATTCTCATTTTCAATCTCAAACAACAACTTTGAACAATTCCTTTTTTAACCGACTTCTAAAAAAAGAGGAGGTTATCAGTTCGTCGGAATCTTCCGCATAACTTTGGACCACGTCAACCGATTTCGATAATTTTTTTTTTTGCATCGGAAAGGTACTGTCTCAGAGGTGGTCCCATACTAATCTGGTTAAGATCCGATCAGTGGATCATGAGATATATATATATATATATTTTTTGTTTTTATATGAGAGTTGAAGTCGGTTTTTTTTTTGCTAAAAATTACTTGTTTAATCTCAATTTTATTTTAAAATGTTGGTAAACTTCAAAAAAAAAATCATGGCCGACGAATTGAGAGAACGGTTTTACCTTACTGTATAGTACATATGTACGTTTTAATCATAGTCCTGGCCCTACTTAACACCAATTTTAAAAATGTTCAGCACTTACATATCGAGCCCTAACCGCCAAAATAACGTAAGCGACATTTTTCAAAATTTTCTTTTATGCAGAAATATTCCTACATCATCTATATTCATTTCTGCATCAAAAAGAAAATTTTGAAAAAAAATGTCGCTTACTTTTTTTTGGCGGTTAGGGCTCGATATGTATGTATGTACATATATTAACTATATTTAGAAAATAATTACAAATAATTTTTTTTAATATATTTCATGCAATATGTTGTAAGATTCCTTGACGCACTAATGTTTCCACTTGGGCTCGCGGCAAATAGTGCTGACTATTCTTCTTCAAATAAATCACTTCGCCATCTTCCAACTCAAACTTACCGTAATCTTCAACACAGCGCACTTCTATATAGAGTGATTTAGGTGGCCGCAGGTCACCTGTCAAATCTATGCCCTGTCCATCCCCAATGGACCGCATGTAGGAAGCCAGCGACTTTGAGTATGTGTTAAAGAAGTTAACTTCCGGTTCGCATAGCGAAGCTTTAATGTCTGCTGGGATAATTGGACCAAATTCCCAACGAAGGGCTTTTATACGGAGCAAACGTTGGTACAAATATGTTAGTAGGCAACGCTTGTTTCTTTGTAGTGCAGCATGTCGAAAGTTGAGCAGTGGCCACAGCGTGCGATCGCCGGAGGTTGAGTAGTTGGCGCTAAGTTAAAAGTTGTATGAGAAATTAATAGATTTGAGTTATTGTATCTTAGTACTTACGCTTGTGCACAGTTTTCCTCGAAAATTGCTTTGATTTCTTCTAAGACTTGCCGAACACCGTCGTCCTGAGAAACACATGCGTTTGAATTGCAAAATTAGTAATTTGTTTGTACATAGCACTTACGTCGAAAGGTGGGATGGTCTGTGACGAACGTTCCAACTCCTTAATTAGCTCAAAGGCTTTATCGGCAAACATTTTATTTGATTTTGCCATTTTTATGAAATATTTACGTTCAATTCGTCTTTTGTAAAATCGCTGAGCAATCAGCCGCCTTTTTGGGTAATTGTTTACGTTTCGCTTTTGCTTTTACACCTTATTCGCTGACAATTGTCGCAGTGTTGTATAATTTAAAAAAAAAGTCATAAAAGAATTGTCGATGTTGTCAAAATCAGCTGACTGGGGATTTTTTGGCGGCAATAAAAAATTTACGAAAAGTGAAGTTGAAGCAAAGTCGCAGAAAATATACATAAGAAAAAAATTACGAAGTATCGAATCATCGCTAGAAATGCCGGAGTATACAATCTCGGGGATAACAGTGCATTTCCCTTTCGAACCCTACGATGTACAGACAGCGTATATGGAAAAGGTAATTACTTGCTTGCGCGATGGCACAAATGGAGTATTGGAATCCCCAACAGGGACAGGTAAAACGTTGAGCCTTTTATGTGCATCTCTGGCTTGGCTGCTATCACGTAAATCCGAAATGCAATCATTAGTGCAACTCCACGCAAGAGGTGGCGCTGCAGCTCAGCAAGCAGTGAACGAATTCAATGCAATGCAGGCGAGAAACGCTAACTGGGGCGTTCCAAAAATTATATACGCCTCCCGTACGCATTCTCAATTAACACAAGCAATGCAGGAGTTGAAGCGTACCTCGTACTCGTTTATGCGCGCTGTGGTGTTGGGCTCACGGGATCAACTGTGCATTCACCCAGAAGTTATGCGCGAACAAGGCAATTCCAACAAGGTGCAACTTTGTAAATTGCGCATACAGACGCGAACTTGCACATTCTATAATCGCGTCGAGTCAAAGAAAGACAGTCCTGAATTAAAAGAATCGTCCGTAATGGATATAGAAGATTTGGTGCGAGTGGGGCAAAAACTCAAAGTATGCCCATATTATGTATCCAAAGAGTTGACCAGCGATGCGGATATCACGTTTATGCCGTATAACTATTTATTAGATCCGAAAGCACGTAAAGCTAATAAAGTGGAGTTGAGCAATACAATTGTTATATTGGATGAGGCACACAATATTGAAAAAATTTGCGAAGAATCGGCATCAGTGCAAATACGCTCATCGGACATAGCGTTGGCAATCGACGATGTGACGCATGTGATGAAATCAATGATGAATGAAAATGCATTGGATTTTATGAGCAGTGATGAACCAAAAGATTTTAAATTGGAGGACTTAGCATTACTTAAGGAAATGTTGTTGGATCTGGAGAAGGAGATTGATAATATTATTGTTGAAAACGAAGCAGAAGGAACAACATACCCCCCTTCGTTCCTGTTTGAGATATTGGCAGCGGCGAAAGTAAGTGCTATATATCAGTAATACTGATTCAGTATCCTACAAATATTTATTGATAAATATAAATCTAATGCTTGTTTTTACAGATAACACCAGTTATAGCGCCAGCCACCATAAGTTTACTCGAAAGACTCGTTCAATACATGACTGTTCAGTCACAAGGTAGTGCCTTCCGTAAAGGTGGTTCTTTTGAAATGATTTCTAATTTACTAAGTGTTGTATTCATCAAGAAGGATGATCTTATAGCAAAAGTCCACAAAAGTTTTAAAGTTCATGTACAAATTGAAGAAATTAAACAGCAGCATAAAGGTTCTAATAAGGATGGTTGGCTATCAAAGGCGCCTAGTACTAGTACGGTTTCGTCGAAATTACCCAAAGTTATTAACTATTGGTGCTTCAATCCTGGTTTCGGGTATGTCAAATAATAAAAAATCCATATACATATATTGTATAATATATTATACAATAATTATAATAATAATTTTATATTATTGTATAATATATTATCATAATAAACATATTTTTATCATGTTGTATATGTATAAATAGCAATAAAAAGCTTAAAACATAAAATTTATTTTGCTTTGTAGTATGGAACAACTTTTGAATACACAAGTACGCAGCATAATTTTGACAAGTGGCACCCTTGCACCGTTGAAACCATTAATAGCTGAACTAGCGGTACCAATCGCACAAAGCCTCGAAAATCCACACATTGTTAGTCAGTCGCAAGTTTTTGTCAGAATCATTGGTACTGGACCTGACCGCGAGCAGCTCATATCGAACTTTGCAAATCGGTGAGAAAAGTTCATTGTCAGAAGAAACAATTTTACTAAACTCGATACTGACTATTTTAGTGACAATCCTAAGTATCTGAGCTCATTGGGTCAAACAGTACTCAATGTGTCACGCATAGTGCCGGATGGTTTGCTCGTTTTCTTCCCTTCCTACCCTTTGCTCAACCAGTGCGTAGACGCTTGGCAGGCCAGCGGTCTTTGGGCTGAGGTGAGTAGGCATAAACCAATTTATGTAGAACCACGAAACAAAGAGAGCTTTACTACGTCTATGGAGGAGTTCTACAAAAGCATACGTGATGCAAAGGGCGCTTGTTTCATGGCAGTATGCCGTGGAAAAGTATCCGAGGGTCTCGATTTTGCAGATCGCAATGGACGTGCAGTTATCATAACGGGGCTTCCATTTCCACCACTCAAAGATCCAAAAGTGATTTTAAAGAAACGCTATTTGGAAGATAATCGCACGAAAGAGAACGAAGTACGCCTACTTTTTAATATGATATGCGTTCTCTAATAACATAATTTGTAATAGCTATTATCAGGCCAAGCATGGTACAGCTTAGAGGCTACTCGTGCTGTGAATCAGGCAATTGGACGTGTCATTCGTCATCGGCACGATTACGGCGCCATTCTGTTGTGTGATGTACGTTTTGCGCAGCCTAGTCAGGTGTCCCAATTATCGAAATGGGTTCGCGGTTATTTAGGCGCCTCTCCCAAAAGCGTGCCATTCGGTTCGATTGTGCGAGAATTGCGCGAATTCTTCCGGAATGCTGATAAAACTGTAATTTATTATAACTTTATATAAAAAAAAAAAATATTTTAGTGAAATATTATTTTTAATTTGATAGTTACCCAAACCAAAAGAGCGTAGCATAGAGACGCTTGTGAGCGAAACATGTGAAGAAGCTGGCATCGTGCAGAGTCGGTACTTCTCAGACCCTAAATTAGTGCTTGAAGCAAAAAGTAAATTTGCCACAGCGCAATCTATGGCAATGTAAGTCATATTTAATTATAAGTATTTTTTTTAACAAATTATCATTCTAAGAATAAAAAAAAATATACAACCAATAGGAAGGTCGAGAAAACCAATTCGATTGAAGGCTGGACCCCAGATGACTACAAAACAGCCGCAGGCCGCTCACAAAGTAGTAAAGTACCGAGCGCAATGGACTTCATGAGTCGACTGGACACCAACGTAAAGGTGAAGTAACACAACTGCCACCGTCATCATTGTTCTTACACTGGCGCTTTTTTCACAAATTTCTCGCAGGCTATAGATTTCAATAGTACCAACTGCAGCAAAGCCTCGGGTCAGGTTAGCATATTCAAGCGTGAGCGAAACTCACCGACTACAAGCCCGAGCAGTAGTTCAAGCGCCCTCGCCGCCAATAACAAGCGAAAACGCTATAAATTGGTTACGGGTACCACCACAATGCCTGATTCGCCAACCACCAGTACACAATCAACACTCGGTGAATTTAGTTTCAAATCCAAATCAAAACTAACCAATGACACTCCAATGGTAGAGAAGGAGGCGCCACAGGAGCGAGTAGAGTTCTTGAGAATAGTGAGTTTAAAAATTACTTTGTGAAGTTAAATAATTTAAATTTAAATTTTTCGTAGCTGCGAAGTTCGCTATCACCAGACGATTTTAGTGCTTTTACCGCAGCGCTAATGGCATATAGTCGTCAGGATGAATTTGAGGAATTTCTTAAAGTTTTAGTACGGGTAATGGGCAAGCCCGAATTACATTATATGTTGCGTGGCATGCGACGATTTATAAAATGTGCGCATAAAGCTATGTTTGACGAGGGTACTGCGCATATTTTAGCATAATTTGTTTAAGGTAGAATTATTGGTGGGAGGGGAGACTTTTCTTTTGTTTTTTCGCACCAAAACAAAAACAAACCGTATCTACTATACTTTATTTTTAATCAGAATTAATTTTTTATATAAGTATGTGTGTATGTATTATTTTTTATGTTTTTATGCGAAAATGTTCAATCATTTAATATGCCTACCGGATTTTTTTTTTATTACTGTGCCATGCTTACGATTTTTCGAAATATTAACAAATATAACGCCATGTGAACGTATCTATAAAAAAATAATAGAGTATTTTTACTCAATGTGCTGGAAATGTTGTGTTGATATTCTTTGGCCGATATAAAAAAACTAAACCGCGCTGAAATTAGTAAATCCACTAAATTTTGTCATCAGTCTCATCCATGCCCAATAAACGGTCAGTTTCCTATATCGGCTTTAGGTCAGGTAAGTTGGGGTTAATTTTGGATAAATAAAGTTTCACCTGCTACAATATTCTGAGCGAAGTTGTACAAAAGTAAAAAAATTGGACCCTACTAATGTTCTTTCCTCATTTCCCTTTATTTCCGGCTTTTCTATACATACTAGCAGCAGTAAGGTTTCTAACTGGAAGACAATCACTTTAATTTTTTGATGAAATTTATTACTCATATGATCCATTCCTACATCCATTCCTACATACATATTTAATGTTTAACACTATAGCTTTAACAGTCACTTTACATTTCCATGGGCATATGTAAATATCTTTCATTCTTGATTGTTTAGCGGAAGTATTATAAGTAAATATGCACATATGTACATAATTGAATATACATATATGCATGTACATATCGCTCACCATCTTCAAAAGAGGCACAACTCCAAAATCGGATCCGAAAATACAACTGCTTGTGGACGGTACACATTCAACGCAATTAAGACAGAAACAGGCATTTAAAACAGTAGTTTGGTAGTTAAAGAATACAATCCTGAAGAAAAAAATATTTGCATTTATTGGAGATAAATCGTACGAATTCATTTACGCATAAACATAGACCTAATTTTTTTTTTTTTTGAGTTGTGTCCCTTTTGAAGAAGGTGTACGACATGTAAATGCATAACATAGTACATATATTTTATAGTGCGTGTAAATGTGATTGCACTGTTGGTAAATGATTCATTGTTCACGTAAGTTCCTTTATTTGGTTGTAATATGCATACATACATACATATATGATTATATTATTAACATGTGCCTGCCTGCACATTTTTGCATTTACATATGTACATGCATAGTATTTTTTACATATATTAAATTAACATAGAATTTATTCTTCATTATGGTGAATTCTTTAATATGCGAGTGTAAAGGCACAGTTTTAATTTCTTAAGTTTTCGAATTTTCATTCAAATTTTGTTTTTTCTTTTGCGCCATTTCCTAATGCCGGATGCGGATATAGAGGCAAACAATGGAAGCGCAAGAACGGAAGAAACAGGAAATAACAATCAACGTAAATTCAAAATTTCACCACTTGATGCTAGCAGAAAGCAAAATAAAAAGTAAACAATAAACAATTTGTTGTCTATTCAACACGCCAATGCAAACCGAAGCGTTCCTCAAAAGTAGTTCGATTATAAACACCGATTTCGGCCAACTGCTGCGGTTCTGTATAGTAAGCAAAGCGGCGTATATCCAACATTGCTGCATCGAACATTTGCTTCCAGCTGGTTAAGTCCGTAACGGTCATATGTATTGGCAACTGCGGATCCGGTATATCTATGGCGGCCGACAAGCGGTCAAAGGCTTCAGCAATGGGACCCACCGACAAATTCACCCAATACTCCTCAGGAAAGCGTCTATTCTCACAAAACGGTGCACCCTTACGCATTATAAAGATGAGCATAAGTATCTCATAGCGTTCACCTGCTTCGTAAAAACGTTTTGTCCGCGTCTTCTCCACAAAGTCGATAAGCAATATGAGTGGCGTGTAATTTTGTAAATGCATCAGCAATTCACGGTCTGTCCACACATATTTGCCGCCCTTGACATTGTTAACAGAGCTGGCGCTGGCCACCATACTTGTCGTCAGTGAAGCGCCTGTTTGTCTGAGACAACCGCTTTCCTCAACCATGACAGTGGACAGTAGCGTGATAATGCGATTGTGTGCACTCGCTTACTTACTTGTTGGGTTTGCTTGCGTTGGCAGTTCCAGGGGGCTGGGTGGTGGTTATAACCAGTGCTTACACGAAGTAGGTTAAGGTCGTATGCCTGTGTATGAGTGCGATACACAAGTGGGCTGCTAAATTGGGGTGCGATCGAGGGCTCTTTATTGAATTAAATTGACATACAACTTTTAGTACTTTATTTGTACTTATTTGCACATTCATTTATACACATTTATGTATGTATGATGTACAAGTGCTTAGTAACTGTTAACACATTTTAAATAAGACTACAAGCTGTTGCAAACAAACAGTATTTTTTATTTAATATTTTTAACTATTGGTGGCGGTTGATGCAAGCAAACTACGGAATGCAGTCGAAAGCAACGTATGAGCATGCCCGAAAAGATGTCAGTGAGGATATAGGGTGCCTACAAATTATTAATGGATGAAGGCAGCAATGTCAGAGAAATGTAAAATTTTGTGGAAATTCAAAAGGTTTCTCGAGAGGCGAATGTTAGGGTAAAATCACGATATTTAATGACCCATTTAAGAAAATTGCATATGTATGTATGTACATATGTATGTATCTACTGCTGCAAATTTCTTTAATTTACAGAAATTAAAGCCCCTGAAAATCTTTGCCTGTTGAGGTCGTATTATATATTAAGTTTGTTATATAATTTTATTTTTTGTAATAAACTATTTATTTTTATAAAAAATGATAATCAAAAAGTAGTAAAAAATGGGTGAAAGGATCTGATTCGATTAAATTTAAATCTGGCTGAGGATACTGCTAGTCAACAGCATCCAGCAAATGTTCTTGTTGCTACAACTCGTAAGAAAATTATCTATGTACGTACATAACATATCTAGCCCTAACCGCTAAAAAGTCGTAAGCGAAATTTCCAAAATTTTCTTTTTGATGCAGAAACGTAAAGATGCCCTATTAGATATGCAATTCTGCATCAAAAATAATATTTTGAAAATATGTCGCTTAAGTCTTTTTTGTGGTTATAGATTGATGCTTACACATATGTGAGTGTTTGACCGATCTTCTCCTGCTTGGCGGTTAGGGCTCAATATATGTATATACGATTGCTCATCTTATAAGCCGCCAAATACCAAATACCCTTTAATTTTGTATGCAAGTCATACGACTCAGTGACGTTATTGCGCAAACGCTGCATCGCAATAAGACATGTAAGTCTTTTGCAATATTACTTTCACTATTTGTACATGCGTTGATTTTCAAAACTTAAGAAGTTCTATAAAAAATTGGATAATACGTTTTTATTTCATAACAAATGCATTTGTACTCGTATAAAAAGTCTAGCAGTGTTTTTACAATTAAAACTATTTTTTATATAAATCTATAATTTTTAAAATCATTGCAAATATTTAAGCAGAGTTAAAATATTTTCGAAAGTTAAATTCAAATCGATTTTTTTTTGGTATTGCTAAATATACCCAAGTATTTGCCCCGCGTCATCTCTTTAGCCTCGGACACGCCCAGCTGGTATGCTTCATCGTACGTTTTTTTGATCTCCATTATTAGGTTACTGAATGGCATATTGCTTAGCTCTGAAAATGGGGTTAATAACTTTAGTAAGGAATTAACGAATATACATACATATGTAAATACATATATACAAGCAAACGTATGTATTTTTTTATTTAAGGTGCTCTTTCGCTAACGAATATTTTACTCTGAACTTACGCATCATCGCATTAATGTCTTCCTGCGATAGATCCTTCGACCACTGCGGCACCGGCGTACGTATTGGGGTGTCACTCATTGCAATAAAATTACTTATACCAGGAACTGCAAAGTCAACAAAATTCAAACTTCATAATTTTTGAAACATTTTTTTCTTTGTATCATGTTTTTCTATATACTATCTGCCGCAAAATATAAAAAAAGACATTTGCTTGTGGCCAGCGGAGATGAAAAATAAATGAAACATTGTCCAAAACCAAGATTCATACGAAAAATGGTGCAGTGAGTATAATAAAAGAACACAATGCTAATGTGCAGCAATACTGTAAATAACGCGTTTTCATTAAAGTGTGGTGATACTTTTAAAATATGTCCAACCGACAGATGAAGAAGGCCTCCCCCAACATCCTCTCTCTCTAACATCTCTAATGGTTCCGTTTTGGAAAGCCAACCCGCTTCCCCCAATAGACTTGGACTGAACAACAGGTCGCTCAAGAGATGCAAGATGAAGAAGTTTTAAGATAAAATTTTGCAAATTCAACTAAAATAGTGTAATGCTACAGCTTATTGTATAAAAATTTCTAAATACTTAATATGTACATTTCGAAATTTCCCAAGCAACACCTTTAATACAAAAAGTAAAAACCTACTCTTTTCAGGCCACAGTTCGGGAGATGTGCGCAATTTCTCCAATGAATACAATCCATCCTCAGGTGAATCTTCCTTTATCATTGAACCTGTAAAGTACAGTGTATATTAGATAGTTAAATAGGTATAATTTCTATTTAGAAACCTTTTAAAGGAGTACGACTTCTGCTGGAGTTTGACATGCTAAAACAAACAATTACTGCAAAACAACACCAAATAAATAATGCGAATTTTTGAGAAAAGCAACGTCAAAAAATATCCAATAGCCGCAGTGTTGCAATCCCATAAGCGTCTTCACCGCATTTCATTACTGTGAGCTTACACGATCAATAACTTGCTTTCTAGTTGATCACACCTACTGCTTTTCAAAATCGATTTGAATTTACGTAGGATGCACACATGATCCAGCTACACAAGATCTGACAAGATGAAGCAAAAGAAAAAAGTAATTTTCTGTCTGACGTTTGTGATTTCGGCGCCATGTTATTTTCTCTGAAATGAACCAAAAGTAAGCATATGAGGGATTCACAACGGTGTCGTAAGTGTCGTATTGTTGTATGTCGTAAGCTTTAAAAGCTTAAATAAATGTTAGGAGACCTTGAAACGACAACCAACTATTTTTTAACACTGCAAAAATTCATAATATGACTTTGATGGTATTTTGCGAACATGTTTGTGCTAACCAATTTATTATTTTTGAACGTATTTTTGCAACCGATTACCGCGCACTTCATCTTAATTATATTTAGACAAAAAATTTATTGAAAATCGCTTAAAAATCACTGAAATAAACCACCGCCAAAATACACATAAATTACAATAACAAATTATACGCACATTGACAATCAGTACAAAACAAAATTACAACAAATACATCATTTTGACAAAAGGTACAAATTCGCCGTGAAATCAGCGGATCCGATAACACCAGCTTGGTGGTGTTACTGGCGAATTTAGATTACAACAACAAAACCCCGCATGTATTTTGTATTGCGCCAAAACGATGTGTTTGTTGTTATATGAATTCGCCTTCTTTACAACAAACACATCATTTTGACATTAGGAAGTATCACGGCGAAAATCTAAATTCGCCATTAACACCACCTTGTATAAATTCGCCTTGACTAAAATGTAACGCCGTTGCATTTTGCATGTGCGGCCGCAACAGTTCGATCCCAGGTTGTTTACAAATCTATTTCGGGCAGTTCGTTTTGTGCTCCTTTCGTTGTAAATTTGGTGGCTGTGGCGTTAATTTAACGTTTTTTAATGCATTTAATGAAATTTGGTACGTTTTACCGTATGTTACCAGGTTTCCAAAATCAAGTTATACTTAAAATGCCACGACATGCTCAGACGCAACATGGCGACGCGACAGTAGATGAAGAAAACATAGTGCTATTGAAGGATGCACTCTACCAACCTATTTCCAATACGGAGCCACTAACTTGCACGTGGTTCTACAATGTTGATCCCAACATAGTACCGGCGGTTCGCACACTGGTAACGGCCGTTAACAATTGTGAATTAAAAGTTGTACTTCCAGAAAAGCGGAAAGCTGAAGATGTTGAGCAGATTGAAGCTTTAAAGAAAGCGAGACTGGAGACGAAGGCATTAAAAGCTAAGCGTCCCGGATTCTCCGATGATAGATATGATGAGACGTCTTACTATTTTGAAAATGGATTGCGCAAAGTTTACCCCTATTACTTCACCTTTACAACATTTACTAAAGGACGCTGGGTAGGAGAGAAAATATTAGATGTATTTTCACGCGAATTTCGTGCTCATCCACCCGAGGAGTATGAACGTAGCATATTAATTGGTTCACTTAAAGTGAATTATGAACGCGTGCCAGTCGATTATAAGCTAAAGCATAACGACTTGCTGTCGAATACTGTGCATCGACATGAAGTGCCTGTTACTGACCAACATATTAGCATAGTGCACATGGACGAGGATATAGTTGTCATAAACAAACCCGCATCAATACCTGTTCATCCATGCGGTAGATATCGTCATAATACTGTTGTCTTCATTTTGGCTAAGGAATTCAATTTGAAAAATTTGCGCACAATCCATCGTTTAGATCGACTTACATCTGGGTTATTGCTTTTTGGTCGCACGCCCAAGAAAGCGAGATTATTGGAACAACAGATACGAAACAGAGACGTAGAAAAGGAGTATGTATGTCGTGTGGAGGGAAATTTTCCTGACGGGATCATTGAATGCAAAGAACCCATTGAAGTTGTCAGTTATAAGATTGGTGTCTGCAAAGTTTCACCAAATGGCAAAGATTGCTCGACATCGTTTGAGAAAATTTGTTACAACGGCTCAACAAGTGTACTACTATGCAAACCCTTAACTGGACGAATGCATCAAATACGTGTGCATTTACAATATTTAGGCTACCCAATTGTAAATGACCCGCTATATAATCACGAAGTATTTGGGCCGCTCAAAGGTCGTGGTGGAGATATTGGAGGTAGAACCGATGAGGAGCTGGTAAAGGATTTGATACATGTACACAATGCTGAAAATTGGTTAGGAGTTGATGGTGGTTTCGATAGTGAAGGAATGACTTTGGTAAAACAAGAAGTTATAGGAAATGGAGCTGGTGTGCCTGAAACTGTAACAAATGCAATTGAAGACACAACGCCTACTGGCATAGTTAATGAAAGAGACATTGATGTAAAGACAGAGCCTGAAGAGCAACCAACCAAAGTATCAGTTGGCACTCAAACTGGTCATGCCCCACCTGATACTGTGTATAACAAAACGAAATTAAGTTTTGATAAGCATTGTTATGAGTGCAAAGTACGCTTTAAAGATCCTAAACCGAAGGATTTAATTATGTATTTACATGCATGGAAATATAAAGGTCCGGGATGGCAGTATGAGACACCGCTACCCGATTGGGCAGGTGAATTTTGGAAGGAATCGTCGGAATAGAAATAATAAAAACTTCAATTGCAAGCAGCTGTGACATTCTGGTATAATATCCCAGTAGGAAATTGTAGCTGATTATTAGCATCATTAGATAAAGTTGTTTTTGTTGTAGAAATATGTACATTTGAGTTTTTTCATGATTTATATTTTTTGAAAATGAAATTGTTGGATAAACAATTAGGCATTTAATTGTTTTTGCTATACAAATATTTGTTTATATAAACGAACGCATTCGGCCCTATTATGGCTGTCGACGTCGTCGTCGATGTAAGAAGAAGAACCTTTCCGCAAAATACTGTGGTCAGCGTAGCTTGAGTTGGATTTACGAGGACTATTTTTGATTAAAAAATGACATCGAGGTCGACGTTGACAACTATAATAGGGCCGATTAATAACATACATACATATTTATAACGTTTACATCGTATCAATAGCATACCAGCAACTAATGTTCGCTTATAATGTTTATGACTATATCTATAACTGTAAGGAAATCTACGTTTGATCATTGTGCTTTTAAAACGACTATAAACCTGTAAATGTCTGCATATTTCTAACAACTGTCTACATACATACATATTTTTTTATAGCATGAGAGAGAGGGAGAGACCTTTATAAATAAATACTAATGGTTTTATAAATTTAAATCGGAATATTTTTTTGCGGTTAATATATCGACTAGGGCTGGGACTGTCCATTCGAATATTGGTGTATACGGATAAAATCCGGTTACACTGTTAACATCTGTTCTTTTGTTCTCCGGCGAATATCCGTTAATTTTGCTATCCGGATATCCGGTTAATATTCGTTCATTTTATCCGGATATTCGGAATTTTAATTAAAGAACTATCGATAGTTTCAGACCACTAGCCAAGAGGCAGAAAATACAAATATGTATTCATTTTTTCACTCACTCTCAAAACAAATAATTCTGACAAACATGCACCATTCACAGCTGATGAAATAACACCAACTTTGCCAATTCGCATTGGAAACATCTTAAAAATAGCTCTGATCCAGTACTTCATGAACTTACAAGTTTTTACACGGCCTTGCAGGAAGTTACAGGAAAAATGATCCCGTACTCTAAAATCCTATAAATGGGAGCGATTTTCGGAGAGTTGTGTAGAGAATGAAGTTGCAAGATTTTACCCGAACTTTTTCTTCTGGTAATGTCAATCGACGTTTTTACAGGAAAAATGCTTTTTTTGTTCCCGCACTTTTTTTACTCTCACTTCAGAGAGTAATTTTGCTGTTTGACATTTTTACAGGATTTTACACGAAAAGTATTGGATCAGAGCCATGAACCAAAGAACGTAAATGTTTATATTTGCGTTCTTTACTGACGGCAACGCTGCTTGGTGCCAGCGTTGCCGTTTTGGTCCAATTAGACCAAAATTGGTAGCTTCATTCTCCTTTGGTAGCTTGGTTAGTTTGATGAAGCTTTTGGTAGGCAAAGTTGTTTCGAAAAGTCAATCAAATTGAGCATTAAAATTTGATCACTTAATTTGCGTTTACACGTTGAAAACATTGCTCTCACTTTGCGCACACTTTGCTTTTTCTAAATTTTACTAAGCACACAATTTTCTGCAAACAAAAACTGACTTCCCAAAGCTATGATCGGTCAGATGTTGCAATTGAACGAAAATTTGCCTATCGTTTTGAAAGAAAAATTGGTGGTAGGCAATTTGCAAAGTGTGAGTGTATGCAAATTGAAACAAAATTTGGAATTTTTTTATTGAAATACGTAAAATGTCAGGATTTTGTTTTTTCAAACATAAAAATAGTTTGATATGAATTGAATTATTCTCAAAGTTACTTACATTTAATTTAAAAGCCCTAACTTGTTTTGTAAAAACCCCATAAATTCAAGAAATTTCGTTTTAATGATGAACAAAAATTTGGTAGTTTGAAAACTGATTTGGTAGACGTTTTGGTACCTAAAAAGAAATTAAAGTGGCAACACATTAATTTCTGTTTTATTTTCGTTTTTCTCTTTTCTCTTGTTTGCTTTTTAACCATCATTCGTTCTCTGTTTGCTATCAGTTCCATTTAACCTGCTCAAAACTGCAATTTGTGTGCAGTTGTTTAGTCTTCTAGTTTTAATTATTTTATAAATAATAGTTAAGCTGGATTGGTGCTAACACGTATTCAAATTCTTATCACAATAGGCGATTGTGTAGTTTATTTTTGTATTAATACTAATACAGTGTATAAAATAATATATTTTTTATTGCGTCAGCGAAAAACTCGCTTATCCATTAAGTTTTTACTCTGATGGCCGAAGGTGAAATTGTAAAGCATAAAAGCACAAAAAATGCTGCTAATTTATGTATAACCGCTTCCAATAGCTCTAATATAAATAACGCTATATTGGGTGAAAATCTAAAGAAGATTACAGCACTTTTCTTCGACTTGGACAACACACTAATTCCCACGCGCTCGGGTGATTTGAAAGCAGTCAAAAAGGTTTGTTGGGATGGGAAAAGGTGGGGGTGGGGTTATTGAAGCTACATGAGAAATCAGTGGGAATTTTCCATTCGCTTATTGATAAAAAGAGGTGCAGTAGGGGTGACTAACACGCGCGTCTGTTTGGTGTACGCGTTTGCGATTATGTATTGTAGCAAATATGTATATTCAGGGGCAAGGGAACAGAATTTGCGGAAATCGCGTAACCGCAGCGCTCGTTAATTGCGAAATGATTTACGGTGTACAAAGGGATATGTAAATATTTGTGTATATGCAAAATATAATAAAAGTGAGCTGGACATGTCAAAGATTTTTTTTCATTTTATATTTCCGCGTCCGGAGAATTCAAGGATAACGAGCAGAATTGCCAAGTAAAAAGAACTCATTTTTTTTAATAAAGGGTTTGTTCCACACGCTTTCCGGGCTGTTTTGGTAATTAGAGCGTAAAAATAAGATACGTGGAAGGTATTCGCTCTCTATTGCCCATTTTTCTAGCATGAGGAACGCTTTCTGGGTAATAGAGATCGAATACGTTCCACTTTTGGATCGTAAATGTCTCCTTCTTCGGTCCCGAAACTGCTCAGACATTTTTTCCGGGCACAAATGTGCAAATTCAAATTGCCATAATAGCTGTGTTTTACACCCGAAAGGATATTTTATAAAACAAAAAAATGCAAAATACCACTTAAGTTTCAAAAAAAATAGTTATTTGCTAATTTTACTCACCGTATAAGATATATACACATAAAATATTTGTTTTTCTACTTATTTGTTGATCCCGGCCACGAAATATGGTTTTACACATTTTTACATGAAGAAACCTAATTTAAAATTATAAAAACCCATAATCAGTTTCCTTATCTACTAGTTTCAATTGCACCCAGCAAGATGCGATCAGCTGTTTTCTTGCTTGCAAGTTTTTACTGGAAAAAAAATTTACAGGATAAATTTGCAACTTCTCAACAAGAACTGCCATTTTCTTCTTTCAATTTCCACTTAGCAAGTTTTTTGGATACATGAACACCAAACCTTGAGATAGCTTTTGATAACTTTTGAAAAAATTTGCTACATGAACAGGCATATTATGTACATATACAGTCAGTCAGTAAAGTTTAGGTACAGCGAATTTTTTATAATACGGGCAACTATTTTTAAATATTCTATTTTTCACTAATTTTTTATTAAAATATGGTTAATTCTACAACAAAAACCCCAAAAAGCAGTGCTCAAAATCTTGTGCAAAATTAAAGAATATTCTGGAAAATTTCATTCAAATATTTCACTTTTTATTTACGCACCCCAGAAAAAAGTTGAGTATGTAGTTTTTTAGCCCATGCAATTTTAATGTAGTAAAGTGCAAGTATGATTAAGCTAGGACTTACCATATTTTATTAAAAAATGAGCGAAAAATAAAATATTTAAAAAAATAGTTGCCGGTATTGTAAAAAATTCGCTGTACCTAAACTTTAATGACTGACTGTACTTTAATCCCCATTGTTCCATTTTATTAAGTTTATAAAGAATTCAAACCACAGGTCTTAAATAATCATTAAATCTCTTTGTAAATCGCTCGTAGCTAAGTGAAGTGCTCGAAAATCAGTTTGGCTTATCGAAAGAGGAGTCTAGCATTGCAACTCTGTCATTTCTGAAAGCATTTCGTCGCTGCCCAGACAACTCGCAAACATCTCTTGATTCCTGGCGCACTTATTTATGGCGTGAAGCTCTTCCACCTCGCTACAAACATTTAGCTGAACAAATTTATCCAAAATGGCTTCAACTTCGTTATCGTTATTTAGCTCTATCTGCCGATTATATACAAATGTTGCGTCGTGCTCGCGAGGCCAATTTCCTACTGGCCCTCATTACCAATGGACCATCTAATGCACAATGGGAAAAAATTAACAAGTTGCATGTAAGTCAATATTTCGATTGTATGCTCGTGTCATCAGATTTACCATGGGAGAAGCCGAATCCGCAAATATTCTACGCTGCTTGCAACTTTCTTGGTGTCTCACCATCGCAATGTGCCATGTTTGGCGACAAGCTCGAATCGGACATTAAGGTGAGCATGAAAGGATAATGATTTCACATGTACAGTGTTTGAACTCGTATGTCACTTATTTTTAGGGAGGCCGTTTAGCAGGACTGGGTGCCACTTTTTGGATACCATTGAATCCAGGGGAGATCGACTTGAACGATGTTCCACATAAACCAGATTTTACTCTTAAGCAATTGCTGGATTTATATAAATATTTCCCGACACTAAACAACACTAGAAATATACGTAATAACACAAATAGTACCGCGACCAGCACAAGCGCACAAAGCAATGCCGTTACTACATCATTACTAACACATGGCAACAACGGTGCTTTAGCTGTTCTACCTCAATATCGTCGTAGAGGTAGTCAAATTAGTCATAGTCGTACCATTAGTACCTGTTACAGTGATCTTCAACGTCATCAAACACATCATCAACCACTTGAATTTGGGCCAGAACAACACGATCAAGAATCGCAAGATGAATGGTTCAACGAACGTTTGAATCAAGAGCAATGCAGACAACGCCGTGGTGGCTCACTACCGACAATGGATTATATGAACAGTGAAGCAGAAAATAGCTCAGACAGTTTGTTTTGTTAAACATTGTTGCAACGAAGGCTGTGCATATTTCTCAGACATAAACCTCCCACACATGCTCATTCTACGATCCTAGATATAAATGAATGTATAATGTAGTAATTGCATAAACCACAACAACGTAAGCACTTCGAATCTTGACATGATTCAGACCTACAGATAAGATATGCATGTCGTTAGTTACAATTGAAATCAACCCTTATCCCACAATCTAGATTGGATTGGTTGTGCTCCACCCGCTTGTGGTTGGTATATGGATACATAGTTACTAAAGTAATTAAGTGTTTTCGAATTCATATGTCTTGAAGTGTGTATATGTATGTATTTTAATGGGAAAATTTACAAGTTAAAAGTTTTTAATTCATCTCTTTAAGTTTTGCATTTTTTATTTGCTTTAAAATTTCGCATAGTAATAGTAGTATTTTTACAAAAAATAAATATGAACTTGAGAAAAGCAAATTTTGTTTTTGTTGAAGGTGGTGTAGTTTCTTGGGCACATGCTGTTATTCCATTGTCAGCTTTTCACTTCAAACAGGCTCTATGGGTGATAGCCATTAGTACAGCTTTATCAGGTCGATCGGATAGTGAAGAAGCGACCTAGATGGTCGCTGGTATTTAATAAACATAGGAACTAATATTCTGATGTAGTAGTTGATTTTAAATTCGACTAAGTCTTTAGGGAGTAATCTACCGACTTGTGTACGGAGCTGAATTTCGAAACGAAATGAGTTAGGGCCTTTCTATATTAAGGTAATGATGTATACATATATATTTTGATTGTCCTAACTTTTAATATATGTACATACATACTTATGTATATCGCTAGCTTAGAAAGAAAAGATGCTAAGTCCCATTTTAAAGATTTTACAGGAGAGCCAAAAATCTTCCTATAGCCCTTTTTTTAACTATTTCGCAAGACCTTGAATCAAACATTTTGCGCGTTTAAAGCAAAGCAAAACTCCATAAGAATCAGAAGGATTCGATATTTATTAAAAGATGTCGTATTATTTTGGTCTTATCGGATTTGTGGTGCTTCTTTTGGACTTAGCAAATTTTCCTTTTATTGCTTACGAAGAGGAAAAAATAAAACAAGTACCTTTATAATTTTCGAAACGATGCGTATTCAATTTCTCTAGCCTCCTATATCAAAATATGAGTTTTCATAAAAAGTGGACTTAGCAACTTTTCACTCTAAGCTAGCGATATGTCTTTGAATATTTTATAACAAGGCCATTTGCTCTCTGCCATTTTTATCCATCTTTTATTTTGAACGGAAATTAAAGTCTTATCAATGTTTTTGTTCTGAAACGAATCTCCGGATCTTTGATAAAAGAAATCATCTCAAATTCCCCCATTTTAGCTTTAAGGCACTAATCGTTAAGAGCGTGTCAGGGACTAGTAGGACGCAGTGGACGAAGCTACAGACGGGACAAAATACGGCACTTAGGACAGCGACGGGATGCCTCCTGATGTCGCCAGAACATCACTTGCACGGCGAGGCGCAAATGCTCCCAGTTAAGGAGCACAACATAATGCTCTGCAAGCAGTTCCTGATCGGGAGCCACAGAAGTGGCCACCCAAACAGACAGCTGCTTGCAGAGGAGCCCTCGCCTAGGCACGTCAGGAGGCATCTATATGAACTGACGGACGAAGTCCAGAGGTTCATTAAGCAACCTCTGGACCCGACAGCGTACAGACAGGCCCTGAACGGCATTCACAGGGACTCAGTCTCGAGTTATGTAGACTCTAGACCTGTGAATGCCGTTCTAGGCATACCACCCCCGGACATTGACGAGACAGAGCTTCATCTGCCTCGGGAGACACGCACTACACTTGCTCAACTTCGCTCCGGCTACTGCAGCAGGTTAAACTCCTACTTGAGTAGGCTGAATGAGGATGTGCCGAACGAATGTCCGGCATGCGGAGAGACCCCACATGACTCGAACCATCTCTTCGCATGCCCGGAAAACCCGACAACCCTAACGGCCCTGTCCCTGTGGACAGATCCCACAGAAGCTGCACGCTTCCTAGGGTTGCCGTTAGTGGAACTTGACGACAACGACTGAGATACCAACCGATCTGGGCGGGGTTGTTGTAGCCGCTACAACAACAACAACAGCGTGTCAGGTGTGGCAATGCAATATATTTCGAAAAGGCTGTCAGATTGAGAAATTTCAGAAAGCAGTTGTATGTAGTTTTTATTTCCGAAAGCCGAATTGCATATTGCTAGTGCAGCACAAGCAAGTTGAAATATATATCCGGAATCGGTTTGCGTGCTTTTAGTTGCAGTCACACCTTGCAACTTTAATTTCTGAAAAGCGACAGAAAGATCTTCTGTTCACACGTGCAAATAAAATCTCCCTTTCTCAATTTAACAGCGATCTTCATCGAAAAGTTGGAAATATCGTCAAGTCTGACACGCTCTTTAAAATTTGCTCGCAATTAAGGTAACTAACAAATTTGTATTTTAACTCTTCAAAAAGTTTATAATAAACTTTATGCAAAATAAATTCCTTTGTAGGGCTCGGTACAACTCAATTGTTACAATAACAAGTAATTTTTAAGCAAAAAACACAACCGACTTTAGTTCGCATATAAAAATTAAGAAGTACCGTTAATTTCTTTATGATCCAATGATCGGATCTAAACCAAATTGGTATGGGACCACCCCTAAAGCACCAACTTTCCGATAGTTAAAGAACTATCGAAATGGGTTAATGTGGTCCAAAGTTATGCGGTTACATACAAAGAAAAATATTAAGATGAATTGATAACCTTCCCTTTTTTTGAAGTCGGTTGAAAAGATAAAAATTAATCAGGTAAATTATTATAAATATGTTAATAGCTATATTTTAACATTTCTAATTATGCTCTGCGCACGCCCATGATCATAGGTGTAGTTTAAGACACCATTTTAATAAAAGTTCGGTGAAATAATGAAGTTCTTTATTTTACATCTATAATTAAACCTAAGTTCTTTTGTCAAAAGCGTACAGGAATATCTTTTGCCTGCGCTGGTGATAAAAGGCTCTTTTCCTAATAGCCCAGTTATGCATACTTAGCTTTGCATGAGAGTTGTCACATAAGAATCTGGCGAATGGACTTTTCGTGTAAGCGGTTACCCAACGCATAGCACTTAACATGTAGAATTCTGTTGGGTTTTGATTTTTACGTAAAAATGGTATAGCAGTGCAAGTATGCTGCTGCTGTGCTGCCTCTTATTGCTGCAGCAGTTGAGGTGCTCGCCCCCATCATTGGACACGTAGTTGCATCTTCCAATGTGGTTGCGGCTGCAGTACCATCTAACTCGCATTCAGCCACAACAACTTCGAATGTCTCCTCCACAATGTCAGCGAGATTGTGAGAAGCATCGGCCATGTCGAGTGCTTCAAAGCCCACTTCGCCCGTTTCATCACCATCGACTGCCTGCACAGTTGTAATCTTAATTATGCGCTCTTCCAGCGGTGACAGTGCTTTGGCCCGGCTCAAACCGTTTATACCACTTCTCTGCTCTGCCTGCCTTATCGCACTATATTTTGTGCGAGTATGAAGTCTGTTTGTAGGTATTAAAAAAAAAAAAAAAAAATAATCACATCATGAAAAATTTATATACATACTTTAAATCGCTCCAATACTTCTTCCATTTTGCACCATCCTTTTGAGTGCCGCCAAGAGCATTAAGGCTCACCGCTAGTTCTTTCCACTTTTCTTCGCGAAATTCGGCACCATCTGCCGTCACAAATCTATAATTATAAATAATTGGTATTCGTTTGTTTATGTTAAAAAGGCTTCATACTTATCGTTTGCAATGTCTACATTGTCTTCTAGATAATTTATTAAAAACTCTTTTTGGTTTTCGCTGGCGCGCTTTCCTCTTGGTATCTTCTCCATCTTGTTTTCACGTATAAATAGGCTGTGTATAATTTTTTTACATATGATAAGTTTTTGACAGTTGGTTGCACTGTTTCACAGAACGAGAACAAGAATGATAGAATACAAGATTGCGCCGTCCTGGGCGTTGACATTTGTGTACCACAAGTAAACAAAGAATAGAGCGAAAAGAAGAACGAGTTGAAACTGCCAAAGCAGTTCACTTTACAGCGAAAAACGTGTTTTAAATTTGCTAAATGTGAAAATATCGCATTTTTCACCTAATCTATTAGAGAATAGTGAACATTTTAGTGCACTCCATACCTTTGCAATTGAGGCTGCTTCAGCAAAGGTTTTAGTGCACTCCATTGCTTTGCAATTAAGGCTGCTGCAGAAAACTGCAGCAGCATCTCTACGGGATTGATTAGTTATCTTGCTAATGGAAGCTGCGTGGAGCAGAAACAAAATCCTTTTGAGGAAATGCTGTTAATATAATAATAGAGAAACATTTCGGGAACGGCTTTGCCGTGCCCTATGTACACAAAATGCAGCGATTCGTCTCAGCGCTACCCTTGCATCTACGCTTCTTGCATCTTGACGGCTGTCGCAATATAACACACAGCACTTCATTGAATTAGTTTTTAAGCAGTCTTCAACTAAAAAATCCCTCGCAAATTGCAAATTAACACAAATTAAACTGATTTTTCACTTATAATTAAATTTCTCTTTAGCTAATTTGTAAACAAAGGTTTATTTACAAGTTACCACAACTGTCAAAATCGGCAAAACCAAAGTAGCGGTACCACTGACGGCGCCACCTTTGTTCGCTGCATCGTGGAACGAGAATCGTCAGGGTTGTGAAAAAGTGAGAAGTTTCGTTTCGTTCCACTTTTTTTTTCATGTGAAAACACTTTGACGTTTCTTTTCATTTTTTCACTGAAAGCGAATCGGAAGTGCAATGAAAACGCGAAAAAAGTTTTCATTTCACCGTTTCACAGAACGAGAATTGACCCCCGGATTCGGTAATTAGAGAATGAGCGAAAAGTTTGCTCACAAAAATGGAACATAATCCAGAAGTACGGGAAACCACATTTCGTGCCCAGAATTTGAGAAACAGCTGCTTCGCGTTGTTTTTGTTTTTGT